AACTCTCTTTTTAAACTACTTTTCTGAAGATGTTTGTTGATCTATAAATGTAGAGTGTTGGATCTGCAATTTATTATTTGTTGTCTTACCTCTCCAAAATCGTAAGGACCAAAGAAATCTGAATAGGAAACTATTTTACGGTTCTTTTGTTCTTGTGGTTTCTTTTTTCCCCACAGTGATCCATAGCGGTCCTCTGTCAGTGCTTCTCAACCTTTTATATTGCAAGGACCATCTACCCTCATCAAAAACCATCCAGGGACTCTCTCGTACAGCCCTGTCACAGTGGTTCGCATTTACTATCTTGTAAGACTTGGTTCAACTGAAAACAGCCGTGTATTAGCCTTATTTTTCCTCTACCTAGTGTTAAATGGGAGTGTGTGTTCAGTGTTGGGTTTCTTGTGCCTTCTTGCTTTTGGGGGTTTGGGTGTCCTGTAACTGTTTGGCAGTCTGTCTGGAGGCCACCAGTCGTGCACAGGTCCTGGGTAGAGTAGCTCTGCTCAACGTCTCTTACTAAAACAAGTCCCAAGCATAAAGATTTCTACCGATTCGCACTGCCAGAAAACTTTTTTTCCCATCCAGTATTTAGTCTGCACCTTCGCCACCTTTGTATCCCATTCCTCCTGCCACTGTTTTTGAGCTTCGTCCGGAGTAAGCCCCTCCTTGGCACCAACACCCTAGTTTGAGTACTCTCTCTTACTGGTTAGCTGTATTACTCATGCTGTAAACTGGCCTTCATCAGTCATGTTTCCAACCTTCATAATAATGTTGTTCCTTCATGGGAATGGAGCAGTGCTCTGACAAAGCTCACCCCAGAGCTGACTGCCCCAGGGGGGGGGGGGATGATTGCTGCCTGTCACCTGTGGCGTGTTAGCGCTAGCTTCCCTGCTGTCTTCAGAGGTCCCACTGCAAACATTTCCCCTGCATTTGCAGTGAATGTGATCCCAGCCGTGATCTCCATTCAAAGGTGATGGAGGGATAAAGTGTAGGTAGCAGTGGAAGAACAGAAATGACAGTTGAAAAAAAGACCCCTATCCCCATTTCTTCATAGAGAAAAAATGGGGATAGGGGTGAGAAAAAATGCAGAAAGTAAAAAAGAGGAGAGCGAGAGCTTCCTACGAGTCAGATAATCTTGAAGAAAAGGGTGAATAATTTAAGGAAAATGTGTAAAGCAGACACCACAAAGTTTGTGCCAAGGCATACAATAAAAAGGAGGACAGAGACAGAGGAGGAACACAGTGACAGCATTTTGACTTTTAAATTTAATTATGATGTGTTGTTTCTAACAACAAAAATGCTACAGATGCTTTTGGTACTTGTCTGAAGTGAGAGCTGAACCGTGTCCTGATCTGAAGAGTCTTTTCCTTGTTGCTGTTAAGTTGGCAGTTCTGGATCTGACATGGTCCACCTGGAGTCCTAGCTATGTTTCAAAGACAGGTCCCTGAGAGACTACCAGGCACTTAGGAAAAGTGTGCTTTTTCTGTGTAAAAGAAAGTAAGTGTAAGTGTACCCTATAAAAATGTACAACCTCTTATATCACAGCAGTCCTTCGACTTATAGAGAGATTTTTCCTGCTGGTATCTTCAGTTCAGTAAAGACCGCATGAAGATAGGGTTAATAGTTATGGTTATCCGTTTATCATGTGATTCAATGTGTATACCCAAAGGGAGGGAGGAGTTTTAGTTTCAGATCTGAAGTGGAAAGCATAGAAATTGTGTTCATAGTATTCTCTTGGGAGCTAGGGGCACTTGTATGCGCCCAAGGATGGAAGATGAGGCAGAGTCTTTTCCAAACTTGCTAGTGACATCCCAATGCACAGCTTAGGGCTGCCTAACCGATGGTCGTCTCCTTGCACAGGTTCTGGGTTGTATCAGTTCTGTGTCCTGACACACATACAGAGTCACTTCTGCTAGTGGTGCACAGCCACTGCAGCTCCATGGGAGGCGTGCCATGGCTGTGGCCTCATACTTTAATAGCTCTCAGATTGCTTTATCAAAGTGCTTTGTCCGCACTGGGGCGCTCTGGTGCAAATGAGAATATTGCTTGGGTTTAGACTGGAGGGTTAGGCTGTAGTGTCAATACAAAGGGTCAGCAGCGGGGCCAGACTCACGTCGCCCATTCTCACCTCTAGACTGTTATGTTTATTGGTTTGTGTATTTATTGTTGTCCTTTTTGGCAATGGTTTCCCACGGTGACTAGTCACTACTGGTTTGTGAAGAAGCAGTGACAGTGGCCAAGGGTCCAGCACCTGACCGCAGCTCAGTAAGATGCTGCTAACATAGCTTACCTTGACTAGAGGAGAGAGCAGGTTCAATGTACCACTGCGTGTTCATTTGCTACGTGGATTCTATGGTGTAGTTCCATGCTGATGTAAAACATTATTGAGATTGACCCTCGACCGTTGAATTAGGTCTGTCCTGGACCTCAGTGCACAAAAGGTGTGCTGAGACTGCTGCCAGTCTGATAGCCGGTGCTTGGTGATGAGAGAAAGCGTCAGCATGTGTCTGCTACCCTGGGAAGGAAAGGATCATCGCTGGCAGCTGGAGGACTATTTTTTTAAACTTAGAGCTGCCTTCAGAACTGCAGTGTGTGCAATTAAACTCAGAGCAGCAGCTTTCTAGCTGTAGGTCATACTGAGATCTTGTGTTGAGTGAGAGTTTGTTCGTCCTCAGGTCTGGCTGTGAATTAATGGTCTGTTTTAGAGGCATCAGTGGGCTAGGATTGCCTTCTTGGTGGAGAAAATGCCGATGCTGTACAAAGTCAGCAGGAGCACTTTGAGATGCTTAGAGTCTTCTCTGCTACTTTTTGTTGATCCAGATGGTCTTTTCTAAGTAAAAGGTCAAAATAAATTAGTTTGTCCCTTGCTTCATCTCTCTGTGCAAGTGTCATGTAGATGTCAGGAACGCTGAACCCCCCCTGTCTCCTGTTGCTGTTTGCATGGGAGAGAAATGGAGGGAAGTGAGATAGAACCATACGTCCCTCTGCATCTGCACTCTGAAGACAAAGTTATTTGTGAGCCTTAAGCATATGGGTGGGAGAGCTGCCAAGCCGAAGTTGTTCCCAAGTATCTGTAAACTAAATCTGATTCCTTAAATTCATCCAACTAAGGAACTTTTGCTCTGGCAAAGGCTTGTAAATATTATAGTACCTGTCACTTTTGGATGCCGCTTTCTGTTTTCATGGCAGTGAACTGAAAGCTTTGAAGTCTGGGACGTTTTGTTTAGCTTTGTAGAGGGTGACCTCAAAGCATCCATCTTTCTGCTCCTTTTAGGATGTATAAAAACAGTCTTTTCGCAGAAAACTTCTTGTAGCAACAGTATTGCTAATGGCCAGAGTTCTCAGATACTCTCGGAGTATGGAAGCATATCTTGAGATATGTATACCAAAATACAGAGAGTTTTGCCTCTGTTATTTTGAGTGATTCGATTTTCTCTTCTGTGTGAGGGAACATGCATAAATTTGTATTTATAATGAAGTGAAAAACATTGCTCTAAGCAATGCTTATAAACTGGTTCCTGGATGCACTGCTCTCTCAGAGTATATAGTTAGTTTTGCTGGGGTTTTGGTTTACATATACTTTTCAGTTTCTGCACCATCTGCACAGCATAGCCTCCACCTGTTTGGATTCTCGCTACTCACTGAGACAGAGTGGAGAGTATTAACAGTCATGTTTTGCTTATTTTCAAGACAAGTTGCTGGTGGGTATAAACCTGTGACTTGAGTTTGCCAGATACAGTTGGTCCCATCATAGTCTTCAGTTGCTTCTCGGAGGAAAGTGTCACACTTTTTCTCTTGAAATAAGTCGGAGAAGGCAGTTTTGGCAGACCTGTTCTGAATTGCTGTTCAGTAGACACAGCTAACTTGACTTAAAACTCATTTGTGACTCCAAAGTTGACCTGGCTACAGCTGAAACTCCATGGAGGCAGTATTTTTAAGACTGTGCTTATTGAGGAGTTAAGTTGGATAGTTGGTCTTACTTGGGTGATGTTCTAGCTTTGACTTTGTCAATGTACACGCAGCTTTTGTCTGAAAGTCTTTGGGCCCACTGACCTGTCCCAGAACCATGGCTGAAGCCAAGGTTCTCTTTGCACTTGAAATTGCCACCCACCCCTCATGAGCAGTGGAGATTTTTGCTCAAGTACTTTGAGTCCTACACTGCTTTCCCCCTTTCCTGCTGTATTCCTAGGGGAATCAAAGTTCTCCTACAGTGAACAGAACGTGAATCCTAGAGCAGTTAAGCCTACTGAGTCACTAAGAGGGCTGGGGTTTGACTCCAGCCTTCCTACAACTCCTCGTGAACAAGCATGATGTCAGAAGAAACACTGTGGAGCAGACCTGCTCTGTGAAATTTTACCGTGATTCCCGTGGTTTTTCTCTTTAATCAAAGTCCACTGAGCAGTCTTGCCAAGCATCTAGTGTCTCAGCAGTGCTCTGACTGGCTTTGCCAGACCAAGTGATCACTGCTTTCAAGGTAGAGGGATCCCAGTGGACAGTGGGATGTATTACATGGCTGGCACCTTGACTGAAGTAAATCCTCACTGGAATCTGCCACCTGAGAGGCCCTACAGTAATGATGGCTTTGTGAGACTGCCTACTCCAGCCACACTTGCAGACCATTCAGGCTTTTGAAAAATGCTTTAGAAAATTATGCTTGAAGGCATAATGTTGAGAGCTAACATCCCAATTGCTTTTCACCTCACTGGCTAAGTCTTGTGCCGCTACATATTCCTAAGCAGATGATTGTTTTTCCTGCCTAACTGCGAAAATATGGGCTTTATATTTCCATTTAGATTATCTGAAAATTGGGCTTTTCATCTTCTGAAATGTTTCCAGAAACCCAAATTCAGACCTATCTGATAATCTTTCTGGTGCTTTAATACCAACTGTTAAAGTAAAGCTAGCTATCAAGAAGCAGTTAGTATGGAGAGAGCTGGTGATGATGCAGCTGAGAAGCTAAACCCCTCATCGCCATTTGAGTCTTTTTTCTTTTTTTTTGTCTTGCAGATGAGAGGATCTGTTCACCACCCTTTATGGAGCTGACAAGTGCCTGTGGAGAAGATACCTTGCAGCTTATAGAGAAGAATGGACTGGCATTCCCATTCAGTATGTACTTGGGCTTTTCCTTGGTGCTTCTACTAGGTTCTGAATATTGCGCATGCAACCCCCAAGACATAAACAACACTGTAGGGGTGTGAGTTTCACTGTTGAAGTGTCAGGGATCTTAAAATCTTCCTGAAACAAATGCTCTGAAGCAGTCTGCTTGGAATGTGGAACAAACCCCCTCCCTATCAGCTTTTACTTTGCCTTTTATTGATTCAGTTCCTTACTTTAAACACCTTGCTACAGTAAACACGCATTCCTAGGAAATGCTGATAGTTCTAACAAAGTTAGCTTCTTGCCCTGAACTTGTGCAAGAAGTTTCTCCTGCCAGCTGCGTTCATTATTTTTCATAAGAAAATCACTGCCTTGCTGACTGCCTCCTTTTCCCAGGTCCAGCCTACAAATTAATCTTAGAGGGTAGAAGAAAGAGTATAAAAATTGCAATAGATAGCAGACTCCAAGGGCCCACGCCCTCAAACAGCTGCTATGAACTGTTCGTGCTTTGTAGCAAGTTTCATTGTGGGGCTTGTGCTTTAATTCATTCCTTCATTTGCAGTATAAAATGAGCAGAATCAGTTAGTTGGTGTTTGTTCCTTTGGTGCTTGCCTAATTTGTAAGGTTGAGAGGTAAAGTCATGTGGAAAAAGCATGTTTTGCCCTCTTGGCCATTGCTCTCCCAAATGAGGCAGGTCTCCTGAAGCTAGATTGTGAAGCAGTAATTTAAAGCCCACTGAGTGGCTTTGACCCTCCTTCCTCACCCATGCACGTTGTCCTCTCAGTACAGGCTGGCTAGTGCTCAGTAGTCAGCAGTGTAGCCCATATATTCAGAAGGCCTGAATCAACCACTCTAAAGGATGATGAAATTAAAAAATAACAGTGAAAATTACTATAACGTGGTATTGTGGGAGGGCCTTGTCTGTCTCCTCTCTTTTTTTTTTTTTTTCCCCTTAAAAATGCTCCTGCTTTCCAGAGCATGTGTCTGTGAGACATCATATACCACTTTGCAAAATTTCAAGTTACCAACTTATTTTGGACTCTAGTGCAGGTCATCAGACTTTCATAGCTGCCTGTCCTCCTGCCTGGCAATTCAACTCTTCCAACAACCCTCAAAGAAGTTTTGTCCTATCTGCCCCCTCACTACTTGCAAGTTTTCATCTCCTCTGCTTAACGTATAAATAACATCAGCTGTAGTCATCGTGTGGGCCCCAGGGTCTTCAGCCTTTCTCTGATTTCGTAGTAGCAGGAGTATGTTGTTTCTTTCCTCTTGCTGGTTTTAGGATGGAGGTGAGAACCAGGATATACAGACCATATAAGGAATATGAAGGAGAAAGAACTGCTGGGCTCTTTCTACTTTTTTTGTCCCCTTCTGTGGTTGCCTGCAAAACATATGTTGTATCTTAGTTTGATTCAGACCATTTCGTTTCCTGCTCTTCCCCTAAACCAGGGAGGTGGGAAAAGAAGTTGGTTTCCACTGTGTCCCAGTTCCCTTGTTTTCAGCCCAGTGATGTTTTGTGGTACCTGTAACGTAGCTCCAGTCCCAGGCAAAATCACATGCTTGTGAAGATGTCCTCTGAGTAGGCAGGATGGCAATACCAGTACTGGTACTAACTTCTTGGCTAATGCTTTGCACCTCTGCCCAGTCCAAATAATGACCTCTGCTTGCTTATTAGTTACAGGGAGAGGTTGAGAGAGTAGGACTTGGAGCAAGCCGAGCTTTGCAGTTGTTGAGGACATTGTTCAAGCAGAGGCTGTCACTGGTATCTGGTACAGTCAGTGCTTTGGTCTGGTGAACTCCGGTGTTTTCACATGTGGGTGGGAGTGGATTTATAAGGGTTCTGTGTGTACTGTTTCAGTGGTGCATTGTTTTTTTCTTTTTTATTTACCCAGTTTGTAAAACCAGAGTGGCCCATGGAACCAACTCTCATGAGGTGAGTTAAAAAACTTTTGCAATGTTATCCCCCTCCTTTCAGTCCTGCCCCCCACCATAGTGCTTTGGCCAGTGCTTTCTGATCCTGTAGGAGGCAGAATGAGGGCTGTGCCCAAATGACTTCCCTTCCCCCACCACTCCCTCATGTTTAATTACACCATTACTTTTTCAGATTTATCTGAAATTAAGTTAAATATTACTTTAACCTCTTGGCTTGGTTCTCTCTAGCAGTTTCTAGCTTCTATCATCTACTTGCTTCTAGCAGTTTGTAGGCTCCAATCAGCTCTCTCTGCAAGGAATCTCCTTCAGCCTCTCCTGTAGTGGGAGGTCACACTAAGTGATGTTTCTCTTCCAACATGTATGTGGTACAGGTGAGACATGGTTTTGTGCTGCAGATGAAGCAGCTGGTTCCTATCCTTAAGGGGAACGGAATAGCAAATAGAGATGGTTTCCAGGCATGTTCAGTTGTAATAACACAGTTGGAGCTGTGGGGAGAAGTGGGCTGGTAGAAGTATCTGCCTTTCCTCCTTCCCATAAGGCAATTGCAGTTAAAATGATTGTGTATTCCTGGAAGGAGTGCATTCCCTATGAGCCTAGCTTCCTCTAAATTTAGGCAAGTTGAGTCCTGTTTTAATTATTTTCCGTTTGTGCTTCCTGCCTTCCTGCTTACTGCAGCTGAGTTTTGAGAATCCAGCACTCACTGCTGGCTCTCCTAATGCCTGGCTTCCTTTGTTAGCGTGGTCATTGGTCCAGGTTTCCCAGCTGCTCCTGGAATATGCAGTATGTTTCTGCAGTGTCTCTGAGAACTGAAGGCCCTGAAGTAAATTCTAAATCTGGATGAGCAGAATGGCTGTGGCCGAAATCTTGAGTGACCAGCACTTCCTTTTAAAAATGCAGCAAGATTTTTTTCATGCAGGCCTCAGCTTGGATTATTTTACAAGACGACAGGCAGTCCTGTTAGTTTACTGGAGCAGACACTATAAATTTTTGTTCTCATTCCCAAGAACACTCGGGGACTGGATTGTTAATGAATTTAAGACTCCAGCCTTCCTGTTGATTTTTCCGTCAAGAATTTCTCCGCAACTGCAACCTGAAATGCATGAACCTCTCAGTCCTTGTCCAGTCAGGCTTGGACTTAGTTTCCCTAGTGTATCTTTCTTTGCTCTTCCTACATACAGTGCAGACATGCCTTAGCTTCCTGCCAGAATTCCATTTGCTGAGCAAAAGTTAGTCTAAAATACAGTTGTAGGCTGCACTTTATCACAGGAACTTATGACTAGAGCCTAGGAGGACCCCTGGAAAAAAGCCTGAAATCTTGGGTGGTACTTTACATAGTTAGTAGTAGTCATCACTTTTGGAGTTGCTGAGTTCTCAGGAGTGATCCAAAAGTGTATTTATGATCAGAGAGAAACTGTCCTGTAATTGCTGTTTTATGGTCAATAATGGTAAGGGAAGCATCGAATAAATTCTGTGCTTACAGTACGCTCTGTCTAAAAGATGAAGCAGAGGTCTAGAAGCAAAAAATTTTTGCGTGTTTTGTTAATGACTCCCTCTTCGGCTTTTGGTAAATCACTTCATTTTCTGTAGACATATTCCCACCACAGAGCTGACACTGGACCTAGAACACACCTGACCAGAAACCTGCTTTTCTTCATGAGATGATTATTCAGAAGGTTCAAGTACTGGCTAACAGGGACAGCTGAAGGTGCAGGCTTGAGTTTGGGTTTGGTGCCAGCCGAGGCTGGCAGACTCTGCATTTTGCAGTGGAAATATGAGCTAGTTAAGCCAAGGTGCTGTTCATTAGTCTTCTTGTGGTGTCCCACAGTTCTATATGGCCTCTGCACTAGAAGTCGCGTCAGCCAGCTCAGCACTTAAACCCCACATTGCCGGCACCGTTTGTTAGACTTGAACAGAGATGGTGCCTGAAGGTTGTCCTTCCTGGTTGCCAGCAGCTTTCATGAAGCTGCCGTGAGACATCACTGAGACCCATAATCTGAAGAAATGTGTCCGGAATTACTCTTTTTCTAAGTGTTGGGCAGACAGGAATCTAAAGGCAGAGAATCACTGTGGGTTTTGAGACTGAATTCCTTAAGGACATTGTCAGTACTAATTCTTGGTGCCAAATGTTTTGTTTTGCCTTCAAAAGAGCTCTGCATTTATAATGAGGAATACTATTTGGAAATTATGATATAAAGTGTTGTTCCCATGTTACTGCCAGACACAGCAGGTCTGTGCTAGATGACAAAGAGCAAGTGCACCCTGCAAGCGAATTCTTGGAGCTGTATTCATGCATGCTAAAAACTGTGAGACATCGCAGTGAACCAGCATAACACCACACCATGGGAGTTTTATGGGTTGTGTGCTAGTCCGTGGGGCTGTCAGCACAGAGCTTTGCAGAAGAGAGGTTTCACGTGGTTTCCAGTAGCCTAGGTCAGTTCTGTGCCGAGAAGATAATCTCTCTGGGTTTCTACACTTCTGAAATAAGATGATAAGTACCTGTTCAAATTATGTTCGTTTGTGGGGATTAATTTAATATTTGAAGAGAACACTGTAAGAACAGCACAGTTCTTGCCAATATGATGTTGCAGGTACTACAATGCCAAAAGTATACACAGGAGGAGGGAGAGAGCAGTGTTTCTTGCCACCAGTGAGTCAAATGAGATGTGATGTTGTTGCCATGAATCATCTTGATAGACGATTCTGGTGGTTAGAGTAGGTTTCTTGCACAGGTTGTTACCACTCAAAAATTCACTCTGTGCTGTGCCATAGATAGCATCTGGTGTAATAGAGACAGAGTAAGAGTAAGAGTATCAGCTGCAAGTAGGTATTGAATGCACACATTGACTTGAACTCAGAAAATGTTAATCTACTGAGTCATTGTGCATGCATGCAGACAATTATGTGCTCTAATGTGGTCTACCAGATAAGGAGGAATAAGGACAAAAATGTGCTCAGACTTTTAAATATTAATGTGTAATGACTACATCATTTATCTTGGCTATGTTTTTGAACAACAAAACATACTATATTTACTATTTTTATTACTGGAACAAACAAGGTGTTAGCAAAAATTTAGTCTGAAAGTACATACGTAAGAGAGAGCACAAAGTGGTCAAATTTCTTTGTAAAATCCTTCCAGTGACCCTGACTTCACTAAAATACACTAATCTCAGAAAGCATGAAAACTGACAGGAAGCATATGGAAGGATCAAGCAAGCAGTATAACTCATCTGCACCATGCTGAGGCAGGACGCTCCATTTTTATTCTATTTATCACTGTGGAGTCACTGTGGGATGCAGAGGAATTCTTTTAGCCTCTCTGGACTGTCTTGCACCCCAAGTAAAACAATAGGCCCAAGCAGACCAGTTATTAACAGGTATAAGAAAAAACTTGTGTTTCAGAGCTTAGGAACTTTTCTGTAAGTGTTGTGCATCCTGCACTGACTGAGGTAGGCAGCAGGCTCAAGACTTGGATGGTTAGCTGTTGTCTTAAAGGCTCTTCAGAGGGGGAAGGTGCTCTAACCAAAGCATTCCTACCTGTGGGAGGGAGTTTTGCCCAGAGGAAGGGAAGATAAAAGGTATGTGAGGTTCTATGGCCTTGAACAATCCTTACTCTTATTCACCTGAGTACCAACATGCCCTACTGCCGCTGTGGATAACAAGGCCCAGCATCACTGGAGTAGTGAAGAGAGATCAATATTAAGATAACTAGAGCATAGCTTTTTCGACATTCTGAGGATGGAGGGCACACCTCAGTTCATCCTCACTGCTGTGTAGGGACACAATGGTATAAAGCAATTTCATGACCTGTGCCAGAATGGATTTGCTGCTGGTTCTGCTTAGGAGCTGTGGCAGCATCCATACTCCAATAACAAACCTGCAAAATGGGGCACTGCGGTTATGGTAATTGTATATGCATGCAGGCATGGTAATGGAAGAATCGATGGAAAGAGCAGTGTAACGTACTGAAGATGTGCTGGCTCATCAGAGTACTTCTGTGCACCTACCAGCATTGCTTCTGTGCTCTTTGAGACAGCTGTTGTTCATCATTCAGGCCCTGTAAATGGCTTCCTTTTTGGCATATTTGTTCCAGTCCTTTGAAGAGGACTATCCATTTGGAGTAATGGAGTGAAACCAAGCCGAGAAAATCATTAGGCCAGCATTTGCTAGCAGTAAGAACTACTAAAGTCTGAAAAAAGTTCTCTGATGATGTGGGTGAAGCCCTGGTACTTAGGCCATTGCAAGTGGACTGAACCAAACCACGGGAGATAAAGCTGGGGGGAAGAACTTGTGTAGTTAATACACAGAGCTGTTCCTTCTGTTGTTCTCGTGGTACATGCTTGTATTCAATACCAACTTTGTTGTTTGTGTTGGTCAAATGTTCTACCCTTTTGTTGTACCTGCAGTTTCAGTGGCTTCCCAACTGAAAGCAACAAATGAAATTGCAAAGAGCTGAGAAGAAAATGTTGATTGAAAATGAAAGCTGCACTGCCAGTAGGGTTTGGAGAGTTGTGTGTCAGTGAAATGAAACATAGTGAAATAGGACTAGCTGCTGAGAAGGAGTTCACAAGTGGTCAATATATATCCTCTGTAGATGTTCCCCCTTACTGCTAGTCAGGTTGTAGGTAGGCATGAAATTATTGAAAGACGTTGTGCACAACTGTGTGTGCGTGTTTCCAGATGGCGATCATCTTCAACCAGGAGGGCCTGAAAGCTGTTCGCCCCCCTTGTGTCATTCAGAGCTTCATCAATCACAATGCTGTGCTGTATAAAGTCTTCGTGGTTGGGGAATCCTACACAGTGGTGAAAAGACCATCTTTAAAGAACTTCTCTGCGGGAATCTCAGGTACGTTGTGCCAATTTAAAAGGAAATGTCAGTTTCCAGAGCCATGGCAGCAGACAGCTAAAAAGAAAAATATCTTTGAAGAGGCTGACAAAGTGAAGGCAGCTGGTTCTTATATACCGTGTTTCCTCTTCTGTATTATTTCGATAGGAAGGGAGATAACTCATCTGCTCTGGAATACATACGAATTACATTCGTATAGTAAATATTTATGCAATGGTAACCTGAGTCTTACCTGTTAGAAACAGTGTTTTATGTCACGTGGAAAGGGGGAGAGAGAGAGAAATTTTCTCATTTCACAGTAAGTACATGTGTCATTTGTTCCGGAGTTTGTTTATAAATGTGCCTTGGAGAGAATTTCCTGGATTCTGTCATTTCAGAACTTCCTCTCCCTTTTTTTGCCTTGATTATGTTTAAATTAAAGATCACTTGTGCTCTCCCCGAAATGAACCTCTTGTGTGAGGCTCAGTGTTGTAAACCTTGGCTGGAAGTGTCCTTTGGTTTGTAGATACCAGCTGTGTTGGGGGGAAGGTGGAATGGATTTTTCAGTAAGGACTAGATCCTCTTATATGCCACTAGAAAGCAGCACTTGAAGAGTTTTCATTAAAGATTACTTAAATTTCCTTTATTGAAAAAAAAGCTCCTTTCCAGAGAAGTGCATTCTGTGGCACATCAGAAGCAAAAAGGAATTAGCAGTGCATGGATGGGAGCATGATCTGCCCGCAACTGGACAAAGCCAGGAGGTGGGGATGGGAGGGGTGAAGGTGTCAAACTAAAGAAGATGAATGGACAAGTGTCAGTTTCTTGTTGCTTTTCTTAGGGGTTTCTGCTGATCTTAGTGTGTCCATGTATGCTCACCGGTGCGTTCTGGACACAAATACGTATTTTGTTACATGTGTATAGTAGGATCTGGATAAAAGTCCTTGTCTGTAGATATGTATGCCTGTATTTACATTTATGTCTGCTCTATGTCCTGATCAAAATAAGTAGGCCAAAATTTGTGTTCATATAAACTATTAGGACAGCTGGTCTGTACTTTTGCTGGAAGGGTCATTTTAAGGCATCTTTCTATAAATGTCTTAGCTAATGTCTGATCTGGTAATGTAAGTCTTGAAAGTTTGCTGGAAGCCCACATAAAAATAAGATTTGTGGGCAGATAGGAGAAGTATCTGGCTTACTTACCCTCATCAGGAGCATTTAAGGCGGCCATGCTACAGGCACCTGACTAGGCAGATCTGACGATTAAGCAGATCTGACGATTAAGCAGATCTGGTGGCTGTGAGGCACTCCAAGACCTCATTGTCTGAAAGCATGGGGCCTTTCTAAATGGGAGGAAAGGCAAGAAGAGTATATGGTGGTGTCAGACTGCAGAGTGGATTTGGGTTTGCTTTTCACAGCTCCCCCATCCTTATTGTATGTGGCCCTGTGGCTGCTCTTAGTGTCCTCTCAGAGAGACCAGCATAGCAGAAATACTCTTGCTGGTGTCTCCTGCGTTGCTGAGGCTTTGGTCCAGATGTTCCCATGCAGGTTGTCTGTATAATGAGACTTGTGATGGATTTCACCCCACCAGTAAAACCTCCAGCACAGAGGTGCAGGTACAGTTCTCCCCATGGTACCCATGTTTGTGCTTCGGTCACCTCAGGGTATCTCCTGCATTCCTGTGGTGCCTCCAAAAGGAGGGCAGGTCCTGACCATGAAATGTACTGCCTTCCTCCATGGTGACAGTGCCCTCCCCAGGTTCACAGGGATCTTGGTGTACCCTGGGTGCTATCGTTCTACTGCCTGCAGTGAATGCAGCTTCTCCCTTCTCTCACATGCCTTCCCGTTGGAACTGTCAATTTGAGAATAGCAAAGTAGTAGTAATTAACTTCATTATCTTACTGAACTTAGTTAATTGGCTCTGATGAAGGAGAGGAAACTGGTTTCTGTTAACCCCGTGCAGTTCTATTTATCTGTGGTCTGAGGTCCAAAAACCGTGGGTGCCCGCCTGTGCAGGCAGCTTAGTGCCAGCAGGCAGGAGAGGCCCTGGGGGTGGCAGGGGACTGCCCGGTGGGATCAAAACTAGATTGCCGGTGCTGCAGTGCCATCTACTGTTCCTTGCACTAATCCTTTGGAAATGAAAATCTGGTACAAAGTTATTTACAACCTGCTTTTAATTCCAGACAGAGAATCAATATTTTTCAACAGCCACAATGTTTCAAAACCAGAATCCTCATCTGTCTTAACAGCAGTAAGTACATTTGATCTTTTTTCCTCTAGCGCGGGTGGAAAACTTATCTAGTCCTTTCTTATCGAAGGGTTAGTAGCTAGTGACTCTCCTTCACAAGTTGTCTGCTTCTGTGTTGCAGGCTGAGGTCTGTTTGGTACAACGAACCAGCATGACTGTGTCCCCCTCTGGTTTTCCTTACCGAGCTCCGGTGAGGAAGCACTGATGCAGCAGGGCTGTGTTGCTTGCCAGGCCTAAACTCCCCAGAGCTAATCTAGGCAAAGGGAAGAAGGAGGTTCTGAATGCAAATACCTGGCCTTTTCCTGTCCAGAGAGCTTAATGAGCATAAATCATCCTTCTAGGACTCAGTTCTGTGAGGAAAGACAATTGGTGAAAATTCAACCAGAGAAATTGCATTGGGCAGGGCCACAGAGGGCCAGTAGCTGTCTGCGTTGCGAGCATGCCTGAGCTGTGACCACAGGACCGTTTCTGGGTGTCTTCTGAGTCCAGCAGTGCCAGCACGCTGCACAGTTTCATGCTTGCATTACCAGTCCTTTTAATAAGCTTTGCACGTATGAATCCTAACAAGTTTTTGGGCACTTGACTGCTGAGAAAGTCACTTTACAGGACTGGGTCCTTTCAATCTCTGAGTCTCCAGATTCTTTTCTGTTTCACAAGCTCTACTGGGGAGTAGTTTCGTAGTCGGCAATGATTAAATTTGAAGTTGTGTGCAACACTGATAGGCATGCTAAATACTAAAACTAATTGTGCTACTCATAAATCCCTTTATGGCTAAATTTACTTTCAAACAGGGAGTGTATGCTGCTGTGGTTTACCTGCCATCTCTCTCATATACGCACTTGTGTAGGCATAATGGCATACTTCTGCTGCGTAACATGTTTAGAAAGTGAAGAAGATTACATCTGCCAGTCATAAGTAACCTGAGTTAGTCATAGTAATAAGTGCTTGTGGAATAACTTGTACATGAAAACCCACATAGAAGATACCCCCTTCAAGTTAGCCTCTGCCCTGAAGATACTGGCTGAGTTGTATTCTATGGCTCAGAGTAAACTAATAGGAGTCTGTCCTGTCAGCCCTTTAACATAGGCCTTAATCTGCATTGAAATAACAGAATGATATCCAGAATATTTGCAGCACAGAGTTAAACATGCCAGCTGTATTTGGGTTTTTGAGGTGTAGATCTAGTACTTAAAATAGTGAGTCTGATTCTCCGTTCATTCCTACACTGCTCTGTCCCTCGAGGAGCTGCACCAGTATGAAGAGCAAGAACTAGGTGTTTTAGAGCAGGTGAACTTCTGATATAGGAAGGATTCTGAATAATGAAAGCAGTTTCTCTTTGCTGTCTTTCTGTGTTTCATGCCACCAGTTCTCTGCAATCAGATTTGGTGGATATGCACCTGGAAACCTCTGAAAATCAATCTTTCCAGTAAAAAGACTTTTTCAGAGTCCCTTACTAATGTCTGTTTTTCTACTGTAGCTGGATAAAATCGAAGGAGTATTTGAGCGGCCAAACGACGATGTCATCCGGGAAATCTCTAAGGCGCTGCGGCAAGCTCTGGGAGTTTCCCTCTTTGGAATTGATATCATCATTAACAATCAGACTGGGCAGCATGCAGTCATTGATATAAATGCATTCCCAGGTGAGAAAGGCCTTTCCACTCATGCGTTGTGAAACTGTGCAGAGAGTGCTTAGTGTGAAGTTTTACTGCTGGTGTCTCACATCATTGCTTCCCGGGTGGTGGATAGGAGAGCAACAGCCACATTGCTCTGAGATCAGATACTGTTCAATTTGAGATGAGCGGAACCCTAATTTAGATGTGGAATGTGCTACTGAAATAAAAGCTCTTGGGAGATACGGTCAGATTTTAGTAGCCAGCTGTAACATGGCTGTCATACCCTTCCATGCAAAGGGATGCCCAGGAACTGAAGTTTGGGACTGTGTGCTGGGTCCTGGCCTTTCTGGGCCTGTCCCTCATTCTGAAGATGAAAAGAAGAATAATAAATTCTATTTTTGGAGAGCCTTTTAAGTTTTCTGGTTTTCCAGACTCTGTGCCATTAAAAGTGTTGAGGGGGTGGAAGCAGCAAACTGTTCCCTTGAAAATCTCTTCCTGTGCAAATTGATTCCCCACGAAAAGACATTTGTGCGCAAAAGCAGCAAAACCGGGAATCTTAAGAAGATGCTAAAATTGTTGCTGCAGCACAGAAGTTGCTGTAAAGAGTTAAATATCCTTGCAGGTTCTCATAAGTGCATCCTGCAGTAAAACAATAGAATAGAGCATGTGAGAACAGGTACTTTTGTCCTCCACTTTTTTTAGTGCAACATATGTCTTGGAAACAACTAAACAAGCTCCTTGACCACTGGAATTGTTAAAAGGCATTGTAAGTGTGTATAAGGGGAGGCGATAATGGTCTGTCACTTGTACTAAATTCAGTAGCCTAGCACTGGAAAAGAATACATCATCTCATTTGATGCTGTTTTGCTTGGGATTTTTCTCTTTGAGAGCCTCTTCTCGGTAGCTGAATAGTGGTGTTTAGACACCACAATAGAGACATACACAGGCTGTTACATAGTTTGTTTAACCTGTCATTGAAGACTTTGGGTTTTCAGTATGGCTGAGATATTTTTACATCTAGAGATCTTGCCCCGAGACCCTAGGCGTCTTAATCTTTCAGTTCATGCCTTGCTTGTCTGTCTCCACAGTGACTGGCTTCCTTTTGAAACTCCAGCGCTGCTATTCTCAGGTCACTTTGCATCTTCGTTGAACCATATGGTGTTGATGAAATCTGCAGACCTATGAAAACAATCTTCTGCCAAGAGCAGTGAAACAACCTAAATTGGGTGTCAGATGGAGCCATATCAGTTTTATGAATGGGATTGTATTTCAGACACTGGGTCTTGAAGTCAGTGATGCAGGACATTCTTTTGCAATCCTACATCCTGCATTTTGGTTTAGTGTTTTGGGGTTTTTGTTTTTTGTAGTACTGTTCTGGATTTGGTACTTGGCACAGGCTGAAATTCCCTTTCTTGAAATATTGAAAAGTCCAGATTGCGGAACAACTAGTGGCAACCTTAACTATTTAAAGAGAAATAATGTCTTCTTGTTGTGGCAGAAGTTTGCAGAACTGCCTTCAGCCTCATTCTCTGCTGTACTTCTAAGGCAATAGTTTTCAATATTCAGCCCAAGTCCTGTGTGTCAGTCTGCACAGTAATTGATCCTTGAAGAGACCTTGAAAAGACATTGAATTAATAGAGTGTTTTAGTTCTTGCAGGAGGCTTGAGAGCATGGGAAAGCTTCTTATACACAGATCTACGTTGTGTCTCTCACACAGGATTTTTTTTTATGGTGAACATGTGGGTAGTGAAGGTAGCTACTGGCTTTATCACCATGGGATAGGTTGAAGACCAGTTGGAGAAAGTCTAGAGGGTGGCAGCAGGGACCAGACTTATGGAAGAGAGAAGGCTGGGGGTAGATAAAACTGCCTTCAAATTTCTAAGAAGTAGCAGAACTGAGAGAGAGGAGCTGCTCTCAGGGGCTGCTGAGGTTGGAGAAGAAGCAATGGGGTAAAACACAACAGAAGAAAAGTTGTGTGTCGGCACAGAATATTGTGTTGCCCATAAGCATGTTCGGCCCAGGCAGCTGCGTTTCCCTTCAAGGGCTGGTGTGATTAAAGGCTGAGCAGCTTCAAGGGCTGACTTCGTTGATGGACCCAGCACCTTGAGAAGTTAAAATTCAGCCCTGCTCCAAAGAGTCACTGGTGGGCGGCATCAGCAGTGGGGTCTCACTGTTCCTGGCTCGGTGCAGTCCCAGGAAGGGCTTTTCATTGATCCTCTTCCTCAAGTCATCCTACTGTGCAAGGGTTGCAGTAGAGACAAACTGGAGCCAAGTTAGACCCTTCAGGGACCTGCTACGTTATCTCCGCGCCACTGCTTTGGGGAAGAGAGGGGAAGAAGTGCCCTTTAAAGGAGCATTCACAGCCTCTTTCTTGGAGCTCAAGCTATGGCTTGCGGCTGAGGAAAGCCTTGTCCAACTGCCCAGAGGCTTGGCTTCTTTTTGTGTTTACCTTCCTTCTTGTGCTGCCTTTTGTGTTTACCGGGCTTGAAGCTCATTTGAACCTGCCATTCCATGGATCTCATGTTGAGATGAATTTAACGTCAGAATTGAGAGCAGAGTAGGAGGATGTTGTCTGTTCCACTAGCACCAGCAACTCTTCAAAAAGATTTTAAAGACAAATGTCTAAAAGGCCTATTGTGTCTCCTGTTCTGTGGGAAACCACCAGGACTATATTTAGCAGTGGTTACCAGCAGAGGTATTTAACTGTAGGCACAGTCACGTAGCATGTGAGTTTTATGTTTGTCTGACCTCAGGTAACTGAGAGAAAAGGTTCCACATAGCCTGCTGTCCTGTGGCCGTGGCTGAGCTCACCCAGCCTGAGCAGCAGCTTGAGTGCACGTTCTGCAGCCTGTCATCAGTATAGGTGAACTGCTGGTCTGTGTGCATATGTGTGATAGCTGGAAGCATCAGATCTGAACATGCACTTTGCGTGTGTAAATATGCTGCTGCAAATGCAGGACATGGGCTGTCCATTTCTCTCTGCCCAGGGGAAAATGCAGAAAAGCAGAGTATGTGCCAGATCAGGGAGGTAACATTTCTAATGCTAGCTTAAAAGTGCTCGTAGGCATTTCTTGACTCCACAAAGTGCAGGGGGGTAAGTACTTGTTTTCAGGTGCGTTGCTGGGTGGACATCCCTCCTATCCATGCTCAGCCAGAGGACTCTGGAGACTGTTCAACACAGCAAAATTCAGGCCTCTTGTAGACAAGCGTTTCCAAAATGGTTTCAGTGGGCAGTGCTAGAATAGTAGCTGCTGGAGCACGATTCATGCAACTTACACTTTGAGGTGTGCGAAACTTAGATCCTCCCCCTGATTCCTTGTGTGGCATGAACCCCAACTTCATTGTCAATGGTTTCTGAAGGTGTAATTTAATCTGCCCTTCTTGATTTTGTTATCATCACAGCCCAGTGTTGTCCCACAATTGCCCTTTTTGAGAGGGCCGCAGCAGCAGGCAGTGAACAGAGCAAGGCAATATCCCCAGAGTTTGCAGCCTTCCCCAGGCATCCTGTGGCTCAAGAGTTGAGACACTCTGGTTCTTTTCCTCCCTTCCTTGTATTTCTTTTTTACGAATGTGTGAAGTTTCTTCGGAGTGACCAGGCAGAATTACTTGGGCCTTTCCACCCAGTGTGCAGAGGGCTTCCACAGAGGAAGCCTGCCTGATCGGTAGAGCTTCCTTACACTGTAACATCTGCTGATTTCAGGACTGAATAACTGGCCAACTTATTCTCATTAAATATTTAAAGCAACTTCTTTGTGAGTTTACCAGGTGCCCTCAAACAAGGCTGTTTTGTTTTCAGTGAGCAGACAAGAAACACTCTAGGGTACTATGGATCTCCTCTCTGAATATTAAAGCTGTTACTATGGAGATGGCTTATTCCCAGGGTGTTTGAAGCACTCTGAGTAGATTTGAAGGCTAATCCCATGGCTTTTACATAAGCAAGAAAGCGTAACAAGCACCTCTGTCAAAGAGGTGGAGATCTTGTTCTAGCTCCCAGGACCAGCAGTAAGAGTCCTAGTTGCCCCTGCCGACTAATGGATTGTTGTGCGGGGCACTGGGAAACTTGATGTTTTTAAACAGATGATTTATTTGGTGAATCTGTTTAAGGGCCTTTGAGAAAGGAAGACTGGGAGCTGTTGTTTCATGCTGGTGTTTTGTGTGACCTATTAAGTATCTAGGAGAATTGTGACCAAGTGCAATAAAATCCAAAGCAATGTAACAGCCGAAATAAGAGTTAACTTGTTAACATATGGGTTATAAATACCCCATAAAAATCACCACATTTATCTTAAGGTGAAGTTATCCTCTTACCTTACATTTTTCAGGTAGTTGGGTTTTTATTGCCTGAGGAAGTTGTCTCTACAGGAGAATGGAGATTAAAATTGAGTTATTTATGGATCTGAGGGGCTCTTCTGGCCTGTGATTGCATCAGTAAAAGTGTTTTAAAATGTGCATTTACTTTGTGGTCTCTGGTTCTGCTCATGTACTGCTGTGTGCTATTCATATGGGGCTTTTAAACTGTTATTTATTGCTTCAGTCTCCTGTATTAGTACCAGGTCACCTTCAGAATACTTTTATAAAAACGATCAGCCTATCCCATTAAGTACACCGAATATCATATGTCACCTCTAAGTACTAAATCAAATTGATAACAATTTTAGGTAGTGCAGTAGCAGTTAAGAGCCATTTCAAGATATTGTACCGATATGTAGCATGTCTGGTTCAATTTTACAGTGAATACAATGATAAAACTGTGCCTGTACCAGAGCGTTTAAAATAGAGCCAGAAGCTTTGTACACCTACTGCCATCCTTTGTGTCGCCAAAAATGTTATGTCTCCTGGTATTTGAGCAACTGTTTTTAACCAGGAAACTTGTTAGACTGCATTGTAAATTGTCTGGAATTGCTTAACACAACATGCAGAAGGGTGGTTTCGGTACTGAAATAAAAGATTGATGTTTCTACCAAATGCTGTATCATTGATATGTGTTTACTGTCCCTTGAGTGTTTTTTCAGACATTGCTCGTAGCAGGGAACCTGTTTTAAGTGCCAAGTTAGGTAAGATTACGCGAGCGTCACATTGCTGCTTACACAGTGGGAAGCTGCCTTTTCTGTGGGGTATAATGCCGGCCCCACCGTCCTCTGGGGTTTCCTTAACTGAGGGTATTGCTGGGCAAATTCTAGAGAGTGTCCAGACCCTCAAGGAAACAGTGTTAGAGCTACTTTCTGTAGTAAACCTGGAAACAGAATGAAAAAGGTCAACATTATACAACAGAGTTTGTAACTTAGGGAAAAACCTGGACTTGGCAACAAATGATAGAATATACCTAAAATTATGTGTGCACATATATACTTGGGAGGAAAAAGAAACAGAAAAATTGAAAGTTTTCTCATTGAACTGAAGTACTTTTGTAGCAGGGGTCTCTGTTCCTCTTTATGGTAATCTGTTCATGCAGTCACTCAAAATGATGTCATGGAAAAGAAGGCTTTTTGTTATCACTTGGAAGGGAAGGACAGCTCAAAACGAAAAACTGGTAGAAGCAGCCTTTCAAAGAACTTACGAAAATTACTTAATTGCCTTTTTTTTCTCTCCTTCATTTTTCCTCTTTTCAGGGTATGAGGGTGTTTCTGAATTTTTCACAGATCTCCTGAACCACATAGCTGCTGTCCTGCAGGGTCAGGCACCTGAGGTGACCCAGCTAAACCATAGCAAGCTCCTGGCAGAGCAGACCAGCGGGATCATGGACGAGCGGATATGCTGCGCTAGCACAGGCTGTCTCAGCGTCATGGGAAAAGACTCCTCCTGGATTGTGGAAAGCGAGACCAACAGCTCAGTAAAACTGCAACACCAGAGACTAGGCTGCAACTCGGCAGTGTCCCCCAGCTTCCAGCAGCACTGCGTCGCTACATTGGCAACAAAAGCTTCTTCTCAATAACTTGCCAATGCCATGGACTGAGAAAAAGCCACAGGGATACAAATTGTGGTCCCAGAACCAGATCCGGCTATAACAATACGATTGCGAAAAACGAAAAACAAAAACAAAAACAAAAAACAACACAAAACACAACACAAAAAGGCAAAATAAGAAACCCTTCCATTTGATTTAACCTGATTTGCTGATGAAATGGACTGAAAGGCAGAGGGCAAGAAAATGATTCAAATCCATTTCATCAGATTCCAGTTGCAAATCTGTAGTGAGTTTACACACATGTGGGTTTTAACACTAGGCCTTTCATTGTGGGAGGGTTGCTCTTTTGTTTCTATTGTTCTTTGTAATCACTGGTGACCAGCATTTTAAAATCGGACCTCATGGTATCAAGAAGATAATAATGTTGAAATGCAGTGTCTGAATGTAACAGTGCTAGAGATTTTTGCCTAAAATACTCCTTGTTCCCTTTTTCCAGGTAGGCCGTTGCAAAAGAAAGCTAAGACAACTTCAGTATCACTAAACCAAATCTATTGAAACATTAACCAGTCAAAATGTTGACAGGTAGCTTGCTGTGAAGCTGCGGCACTTTGAGTAGGACAGAGCAGACTGGTTGTTCAGGGTGCAGAACCAAGGTGACCAGCCTGGTTCTAGCATTGCAGTTCTTCCCACAGGCCTTGTTGCTTCAGTTGAAAGCAGCTTCTAACCACGCTTGCCAGCAGCGACGCATGTTTCGTCCAGACAGGGTGCCGATAGTTAGGTTGAGTTATTGAGTAGATTAAAAATCATCCTTTCAATCGTCTGCTAGTGGTGAAATCCTAGAATAGTTAATGAAAGCAGTTCATCTCTTAGCAGAGAGTTTAATTCTTCCTCCATTGCATTTGTGAGGACTCTGGGACTGCTCTGCAGAAAGGCTGGCAATCAGAGCCGTGCATTTTCCTTGGAGCAGTACACCCGATCTGTGGGTCCTAAGGGGTAACACAGTTGCTGCCTTCCATAGATCCATACTGGTGTGCGTTTTTTTTCTCTTTTGCAAATTAAATATAAGCAGAATTTTGTACCTTTGTATGAGGTAGAAGAACAACAGCTCTGGCTTAGAGACCACATTATTTTGTTGCAAGCTGCCAGATAAGGCGGTGTGATAATTTACAGTAGTGGTTTATACTATTTGTAAACAATAGCACAGCTAATTTGTATCTCTTGAGATACACAGTAAACCTAGTGTTCACCCTTTATTTCATCTTCTAGCATGGCAGCATCTTCTGCTGTTGAGAATTCCTGCAACTTTTGTCAGTTCTGAACACTAAACTGGAAGTATCCAAGTATCAGCACTGAGAACAGAGACACTATTTTGGTAGACAGAGTGGCCTTCCCTTCCCCGTGTAAGCCCTGAAATATGTTTAACAGGGGTGGTGTTAAGAAAATTTCCTTAGTTAAGCTCCTAGCTTGCAGATATGGGAATTTCTGTCTTTCTGTAGCAGGTATTCATAAAGCATCCATCACTGCAGGGTTTAATGCCAGTTTGTTTAGTATCATGCATTAGGTACCTACTCGAAGGGAAAGGATCTAGAGCTTAGAGCCCAAGTAGACCATGGAGAGAGGATTAAACTGTGTAAAAGATGTCACTACCCTAGCTGGTGGTACCAGTCCTGGATAGGAAGAAGTTTTGAAGAGTGTTGTATAGCAATTCTTCTGTGTAAACAATGGTTTTTCCTTAGGAAAGATTTGCTTTGTTTCCAAAATGCCATTCTTAGGAATTTCCCATAGCCAGGATGGGATTTTCAAGGATGATTTACACAAGAGAAGATTATTCCACCTCTAGAGAGGTTACAGACTTTAAGATATTTCTGTAGGGACTGGAAGGATCTTATGAGTGTGGCATCTGTCAAATTCCAGGGTGCGCATAAGTGCAGCCAACTTCCTCAACTAATGCAGATCAGTTCTGAGCTGGGCTCGCTTCACAATCCTTGTGTGCTTTGAGGCTGCTGGATCCCATGTTGTCTGCAGCTCGCAGGTCTCGAGTGGTCGTGGTGTGAGTGAGTCAGATGTACATAGGTAAGGGTTTATAAAAGTATTCATGATAGACCAAACCTTTCGTAAAGCCATGACTGAAATAAAATTGACATCTACAGTTTAGGGTTTGTTTTTGTTTGCTTAAAATAAAAAGTGGTTTTGTGTTACATGTGTAACAAAAGATACCCTCAGGAAGGAACTTGCCAGTGCATATTTTTGTATGGTACTTTCTTGTAACCAGCTGGTGGAGTGTTTGTAGACTTGCCTTTTGCTCCCTTTATTACAATGGCTTGGGGTCTTTTCTTTTTTGTTTGTTGGTTTGGGTTTTTTTTTTATTGGGTGGTGGGGAAGAAGCAATGATGTTAAAACTGGGTTAGTAACTCAAGACCTTTCAAACTAAGTATGTTTACATGAATCTGAGTGTTGGATCCAATGGAAATGTCTGTATGCTGTTTCCTAGTTAGAACATCAAATAAGAATTTTATTTTCCTGGCTGCCTTCTGAATTTTGGTTGGCCTATTTTGCACTGCTTTATTTCTCCAAAATAAACTACTGAAATATAATTGTGCATTTTAAACTTGTTTACAAATTGTTGTTAGAAGTTTATTTTGTAATTCTCTGAAGGCTTGCAGAAATACTATATTTAAATATTACTCCAGACCTTGGCAGTAACTAGAAAACAATTTTAGGTCATTGGTGTGATCAGTGACATTTTTCCCATAGTCTGTAATTTATTTTTTATTTATCAAATGTATTGGTATCACTTTAATTTACCAGGTGCAGATATGCAGGTACCTGTTGTGATGTGGCATTACAATAGAGTTTTCACATAAATTACCATGCAATTGCTGTACTACTATATTTCCTTGCAGAAATTATTGTAATGGCTTATATACTAGAACGTTGCTAAATCACAGGGGCAAATTGGGAGACCAACTTTTAAAAGCCAAAACTGTAAATTACCAAGTATTCAGACATATTATTACGTTACTGCAAGACATTCGAGCATGCGTATGTTATTAAGCCTGTGCTAAAGTGCTTTTCTGAATTGCTGCCTCCTTCGGTAAGTTCAGGATAGTTTTGATTTAAGATAAGCTTTACAGTGAGTTAGTTAATATTCTGTAGTCGTGTCTTTTTTTGTAAAAGTAGAGGAGTCTAGTAATATTAGACCGTACCAGAATGCCCTTGCTCTTAAAATTGCGGACAATCTGAGGGAGATTTTCCATAATGTCTGTTCGAATTCTGTTATTGTGGGTTAGAAAAGGTTCTGCCATGTTTTCAGAGGCATAGCTATTGTTGCTGTGCTGATGGGAGCAATTGTGTTAAAATTACATGGTCACCAGTTATCTTCTTTGGGATCTATTTCTGTTCTGCTTCACTGTTAAAAATACAAGAACAACATTAGCTTGACTGGAATTTCTCCAGGTTTTGTGTCAGTGTGATGCAGGAGATGGGACTCTGGTTTCCACTGTAATTATGTAATCGGCTTCAGTAGGTGACAATTTTTCCCAGTTGAAGAGAACTTGAGTGGTATTGTTACTGCCTGCAATGTAAAGCCATCACCGTCCTCCTCCCTCTCTAGCTGGCGTTGCTGTGTCATGCTTGGGTTTGTAATGACTGTACCAGAACATCCCGCTCGTTACGTGAACGCCAGTTGCAGAAACCCGGCGTGCCTAGGAGCATTGGTGCCGACACTCGTGGTTTGTGTAACCGCCGGCCCGATGCTGGTTTGTCTTTGGTTAACCACGTCTCTGGCTGTTCAACCTGTCTGCTGAGGAGCCGATTGACTGGGCTGGCCGGTAGATAGGACGCGCTATTTTTATTAGTACTATTGGTACTGTTGGAGTGATCAGCTGTTTAAAGATCTCCACCCTCAACATGGGAATGTTTGTGCAGAGGAGGTCCGCAGCAGGTTGCTCAGATGGAAAACCACCAGTTTAATCTGTTTTCATTATAGATGAGTACAAATTAAGAACCTGACGCAGAGGCTTCAGGAGGTAATGAGGATTGCTCAAGATAAAGCCTCAAGTTCTCCAGATTAACCGCGGGCTGTATCCAGCCAGGGAACAGCCAGGTGGAGTAGTGGGTACACAACAGAGGCAGGGTACAGTCCAAAGGCAGCAGAATAAATAAGGCCAGAGGTGTTTGAAGTGGCTGGCAGAAAAGAGCGAAACAAAGGAAAAATGCTTCTGTTGTTTCCATCCAATAAAAAAAAAAAAAATCCAGGCTTATCAATTTTTGGACTAACACTGGTTTCCCAAAGTCTTTTTGTGGCAGCAGTGACAAGTGAGTCAAGCGTTTTCACACTATCTTGCAGCCTTGCCTTCCACAGCTGTGCAGAAAATCTTGGATTTTGTGTTTTTAGAGAATAGAGTCTATTTTGAGTTTGTAGCAGTCTCCCCGTTGTGCACATTTGCAGGAGTTTGCTTGCATTACCCTGACAATTTTTTTTCCCTCTCCCTTTTTAGTAAGAGGTGTATTGATTTCTGTATTTAGTATACAATTACTTTATGGCGTTGCAACTGTGTGTTTTGTAATTAGGAGTATGTGAAAATGCTTTGTGTAGATTAAAATGTTTCCTTTAATATAATCTCCTCTTGCTTTCATAGATAAATGGACACGCCGTTGCAGATCACATTGCTGATTTTATTTGTAATACTGCTTTAATATCTATTTCAGAGGAATGTAACCTCCAGAAAAGTACTTTCCACATCTTCACTACCTTTCCTTTCCCTGTCCACTCTGTGTGGATCCAGGCCATCAACTTGAGCTTTTGACGGGATGGGTTTCAGATCCTCCATGGATTCTGTCATGTTTACATGGCTACAAAAATTATCAAAGATGGTTGAAGTTTGAGAGGATCCAGGTGTAAATAGAGATGTTAGAGCAATTCCTCAGCAACACAAGCACAACAAGCACCTGTAGCAAGCAAAGGGAATTGTTCTCACTGTGTGCATGCCAGTGGCTGTCCACCCCTGCTGCTGGGGCAGTTTTCCTGTGGAAATAAAAAATCCAATGTAAGAAAACGTCCTATATCTGTGATGCAGAAGGAGGGTGAGGAGAGGTAGGGCTTGGGAGTAAAATCCTGGCCAGTGGACATCGT